AGGAGATGGGCGGAGCGAAGGCGCCAGCATGCGGCAGCAGGTTTTCGGCTTCCCGGCTTTTATTGGCTGAAAAGAATATTCTGTGATAATTTTCCCCTGTTGGGTTTTACCGGACCCGATTTCAGTGCTGAACATATTGTCCAATTTTTGCCAGGAGACTGAAGCAAATGGAAACCAGTGGCTTGTTTGCTTTGGCCCGCGGCAGGGGGAACGCCCCCCTTTATAAATCCGGGCGCCGGGCAGGCGAGCCCGTGTTTTCCCCGGAGTCCCTGAAACCGAAGCCGCGCCCCCTGCCGCCGACCCACCCCGGTCGATTCCGGTTCACCCCCCCCGGTTCACTCTCGAAACCTCGCTGCCAGGGGGTGTTCGGGCGCATTTTTTTTAGCCGCGATGTCCGCATCCATGGCGGACATTGATGCGAATAATGCCGGTGATGCGGGGGATGCTGGGGATGTTGTCCCCTAAGTCGGGCCAATTTCGACGAAAACGTGCAAAACACAGTGTTTTTTTAAAAGGTTTTTAACGGGTGCATTCGTGGAAAATATGGAAACCTGCTTAGCAGGCAGGCCTCAACGGTCCCGGCCGAACTCGAGTGAACCCAACAAAAAACGCGGTGTTTTCGATAGTTTTGTATGGATTCTAGGCCGGGCGCAAACGTGGAAAATGTGGAAACCTGCTTAGCAGGCAGGGCTCAACTCGCCCCGACCGAGCCCGATTCCTGGTAGGGTTTTCGGTGAACAAGTAGAAAAAAACCACGTGTTTTTTGATGGTTTTGTCTGGATTCAAGGACCCGTTGTTGCGAAAATCATAAAAACAGGTGGAAACTTCATGCTTGTAGTGGCGTTTCTGGAAGGTGCTTCGAATTTGCTGGCAGACCCTGCGTTTTCCCATCCTTTTTATCTCCCGGCGCTCGGCTGTCAGGCGTAAGCCCTTAAATCAACGACCAACATATTTTCCTTGCTCGGGAAATCTTTCAGAATTAGAGTTTGTGGATGCCGTCGAATTTTGCAAGTAGAGGAAGAGGGGCAGCCCTGCCATTTACCGCAGTTGTTTCACTTGCAACGTGTAGAGTATCCATCATGCAACCTTCAATCTTTAAACCGTTGAAAGCATTGTTTCCCGACCAAGCTACCAACAGATTCAACCTTTTAGAGGGGGTAACGACCAACGCAGCTTTTCAGTTCCGTGCAGGGTGGTCCTTGGATTTTGGGTTTCGTGTGGTCCGAAGGGGTTTTTCTTCGGAAGCCCAAGGGATTCCCCGACATTGCGCGGCTGAACTCCAGAAAGCACACGTCGTCGTACACCAATGCTCCAATTGTGTATTGGATTTCACCGTGAAAGACTCGTTCTGTTCGACGGGTTCCCCACTGAATTTGGAATTAACCTTATAAATAAATAAGTGTATATATATATATATACATGTATAGAGAGAGAGAGAGAGAGAGAGAGAGAGAGAGAGAGTTTTTGCCTCAAAATGAGGGCGCCCCCCCCACAAAATGGTTGGTTTCCTAAGCCTTGCCTTGTTTTCCCCCGGGAGAACAAAGCACGACACATGGACTCCATCCCTCCGTCGCTGGCCGTTTGCCGGCCCGTCGCAGGTGCCCTTTGTTGCGGGGCGCACGGACAAGCCCAGCGGCAAGGAATGCCCGCTCTGGGATGGCCCCACCTGCAAGGCAGGCCTGCGGCTGGCTGGGTGGGTGGGTGGGTGGGTTGGTTGTTGCCCGTCCTACTACGCGGGTGACGCCACAGAAAGGGCACAACCCCCGATGAAGCAGCCTGCGGTTCATTAATCCATTTCTTGCAGGTGCATGTGGTTTATCCATGTTCATCCACAGCTTCAAGGAGGTTTTTAGGCCAGCTTAGTGGGTTTGCCTCAGAATGGGGGAGCCCCACGAATTCTTGGTTTCCCTTTGGGTTTCCCTTTGTAAAACAGCGCAAAAGGGGTAGCCTGAAGAGAGGCACACCCCTATTTCTGGGGCTTAAATACTTCCATTTGCTTCAGAATACTTGTATTTTCCCCTTTTGGTTTTAAAGGGAATCTATCACTACTGGACATATTTGTATTTTTTCCAGGGGGCTTAAGCAAATGGAGGAATACATCGAGCCAGGCGAACGTCCGTCGATTCGCGGAGTCCAGGACGGGCGCCTGCCCAGCGCGGACATGGGCAGCCCCGACAAGACCGCGGCCCATCTGCGGCTGATCTTCAACCGCGGCCTGGTTGTCTGAAGGGGCGAACTTTCCCCTTTTGTTCAACTGCCGCCGCGGCAAAGTTTTCGGGCGGAAGTCGGAAGGTTTTCTGAGTTTTGCGGCCGCAGAGCCGCCAGAGCCGGCCCAAAGCACTTTTTTTTTGGGGGGGGGTTGCAATCCAAAGCCTTGAGACGAACTTTTTTGCCCCATGAAAAAAACCGCCGCCGCAGTGAACGTTTTTTTTTTTGTTTTTCCCCGGCGGAAGTCCGGTGGATGTCTCCTGTGGCGATTTTACATGATGGGGATCTGGGCCAATGTTCGGGAAAGCTTGGGCCCAATAATGAAGGTCCCTTACTTGGAGATTCCTTATCTCCAGTTTGTGAGTTATAGTTTCATTGTGCCACCAGTCACCGATCCGAGGCAAGGAGGAACCAAACAAACAGGCGATCACAAGCGAATTGTGGCAGCTTTCCAAGTTGGCTCGAAGCAGTATGATGACGTGAGGAATTCGAACCAATTTGGGGTACAAGCATTGATCCTGTTTGTTCAAAAGCGTAGCGATGGAAAGCAACCGGTGCAATTCTGATTTGGGCATCAGGGAGCCCTTGAGAGAAAGCCTATATCTGGGCTAGACTTAGGATACATTTTGCATTTTACCGGTGACTCTATGTGAAGCAAACAATAAAATATACACTCCATAACTGGGCCTAACTCTAATCATGATGTAGTAATCAACACATTTGCCCATCTTGAACCAGGTCTGCAGTCTCTCGCGCGCCTCGTTTGTGGCTCCAGCGGGCCAGCCACAATGCCAAGATCAACAAGATCAAGCCTGGGAGCCACGAGCAACGCACATTTTTTTTGTTTTCTTTTCTCGGGTTTTCGGCGCCCATCGTTTTATATAGCCTAATGTGGTTACCCGTACACGTGGTCAGAACTTGCTCATCTCACAAAGCGCTTGACACCCTTAAAAGCATTCGAGGGTTTCTTTGCTGGGGAAGTCGGTAGGAAAGTCGGAAGCAGTGGCAAGTAAGAATCAGAATGGAAACCGGACAGCTTATGGCCTAGTTCCATTCCAAGACCCTGCACACTTCCAGGAAGATTTAAAAGAGGGTATGCCAAACTGGTCCTCTCCAATTGCTTGCTTTCTTTTTTGAGACGTTTTAATCAGCAGCTGCCATGGACAAAGATGGCTTTGCCAGGCTGTTGGACAGTTCCTGGCAGACCTTCCGTCAACAGTTGCTGGAGGCGAATTTGTCGCGTTCTACTTGGAGCCGGGCACTTGTTGGGACAATGCTGACCAGAGCGTTTTTATCAACCTCTGGTTGATTCGTGGGTTTTGCCCCTTTTCAAACAGGTGAACATGATCAAGTCTTTTTGCGACATCAATCGTCGCTTTAGTGCCCTTCAAAATGGTCCATCCATGTGGAAGAGCGCAGATTTCGTTCAGGTTCACATGTACGAGCGCCAAACATCGTCTGATTTCAAGGTCACAGTGGACAGATGTGCAATTCTCCAGACACCCTCCCTAGGATTCCCTGTCCCCATGGAAAGAAGGGTTGACCCAATTTGGATGATGACAATCCTTAGGTAAACAAGGGTTGTTATATGAACCCAACCATTGTTTTAATCATAATAGCTGAACCGCAGACACCCTGTTTACCGCCTTTCAACCGCATCGAAAGACCAAATTCACAGCCTTGCCTTGGCAAGACACAACAGGTTTCTCGGCCGGGTATGGGGCTGAGGGCTCCGAGTATAAGCATTCGAAACAAAGATTGAATAGGCCACACAAAGGTGGCGCAAGGTGGCTGCAAATTTCAGCATCTCAAGAACGGGTTGTTTTTGGGTGTAGAAAAGGGACCCGATTCATGTCAGTGAGCAACATCTCTTGTCAGCTTTGCCAAACCTGGGCGACACACGCCCCCAGAGTCACCAACCGGCCTGTTTGCCATCCGCGTTTGAGCAGCAGACAACACTCAAAGTTCCTGTGTGTGCATACGGTGTCAAACATCAGACTCCGCCTCATTACATTTAGTGGAACCCATACCCTCCAAATTGCCTTGGCGTATTCTGGAAACAACCACCCTCGTGGCCTCGGCTTCATGTTGCTTTCATGTATGAAACCACCACCTGGCTTTTCTGAATGGAACCAAAAGGTCACTTGGGACTGGCAACAATAGTAGGGAATGGTCCAACTGTGAGGATGCCCAAACAAATGAGATTCTGTGGCACACTTTGTGGAGTTGTGAGAGAATGGCGTATTTTTTTTGTAGACCGGCCAACCCCTTTGGATGTTCCTTCCTGGCCGCTATCCAGAAGAAGCCGCTCGAATTTTCTCGCTTCGGCCCTTTCCTTCGGGGATCCAAGGCTTCACGTTATTGCAACCTGATATGCTTTGAGCCCCCCTTCAAGGGAAGGAAAAGCTGGTTCTTTCAGGTTTCGGACATATCAAACCAGGTGCGGGTGTTCTGGTTTGGCCCAAAGGGAGATGAGTATGGCTGGTGTTTGAAGCAAATGCAGATCGCGTTACAAGGCGTCTCTCTTGTTTGTTCCTCACTTTGCCTAGCTTGAAAACGCCCAAAGCAAGCATTTTCGGTTCCTACCTGGTTGACTTGGGGGCAAAGCCTATATAGACTCCAACAAAAACCTTCATCACATGGTAGAACCAACAGTTCATGGGAGGGGCAACGCCTCGTTTAAAACATAGAACCAAGAGTTAATGCCCTCTTTGTAACATGTAGACCTTTATATTATTATAGACCTTGATGACAAAACACCAGAAGCTGGGTGATCTGGGCGCGTTTGGGCCCGGACTCGGGGCGACTCCGCGGACTCCGCGGTTGGCGGTTGAGGCCTACCCCGAGCACCACGAGGAGCAGCTACTAAAGGCGAGCGGGTTGGTGGAGACATGGAGGTGGATCCAAGATTCCGCGCAAAAATAGGGGCCCCGGTTAGTTTTTGAGCATGGGTCCAACTTTTCCCGGTTTTTGTTTTTTGGCTGGTATTTTTGAGGGTCACCATCATTTTTAACGGACATTTTGATCAACCCCCACATGGTTATAAGTGCTACTTGGGAACATTCATAGGAACGGTTGGTGCATGTTGCAGACTCAAACCCTAAACCGCCGGTCCTTCGAGTGTGATGCTGGCAATGGTGATGATGCTGCTGATCCTGATAATGCTGACGATGCTGCAGATGCTGACGATGCTGCAGATGCTGGCGATGCAGACTCCAAAAGACGAGAACCACAATGCCCAGAAATCGGGCTAGCTTTTCCTGGATGCAAATTCATACGGGGATATCCTGGCCTCTTTTTTTGGACATGATTTACGACCCCCGAACGTCAGGTTCCATGTGAAAAGGGCAGCCAATTCACAGCCGAAACCTGACGCTCAGGGGCGCGGAAGACCATTTGGCCCATTTTCCTGTTGAAGGGACCAACGTCAGTTACCCTCCCACCAAGCAAAATGGAACCAGACAGGGGCTCCTGGTTTGGACCGTTTTCCTGTTTAAAGAAAACAAAAAACAATTCTCGCCACATCGAACGGTTCCTGTGTTAATTGGTGCCCTTTGCAGATGAAACCCGACATTTGGGGGTCACTTTGCAAACAGGACCCCCCGAACGAATTACTTGGTGTTCATCATGTACTTTTCACGTAAAACCTGACGTCCGGGCTCCCTTTCAAAGCAAACTGGTCCAAACCAGCACCCCGGAACGTCAGGTTCCATGTTATGGAACATGGAACACGTGAGCAGCGGTCCATGGGAGGGTACTTAAAGCGGCAGGGTACGTCAGTAAGCCTGGTTACAATCCACTTCGGAGAAATGTTTGCCGCGGTAAGTGGGTTATAACCAGGCTTACGAACCACTTGCTAAGTACCCTGCGTCAACCAGCAGCCTTCCTTCGCCTAACCATTTGAGTGAGGCCTGTTGAATGGAAACCTCGGTTGTTTATTTTAAAATAATGATACTAGTAATAAAATAATAATAATAATAATAATAATAATAATAATAATAATAATAATAATAATAATAATAATAATAATAATAATAATAATAATAATAATAATAAACAATAATAATAACTATGATGAGAATAATAAAAGAAAAACGGGGGGGGGGGGGGGGTGGGAAACCTGACCAGTCCATGGGTACATCGCAGGTGTCCCCCGGTAGTGCCCGTTCTCACCCCTTTTTTGGTTGGGAGTTCCCCTACTAAAATAGACTACAGAAAAAGTGGGTGCCCTTATTCTAACCTCTCTACGGGAGGACCGAGTATCATATTTGATTAAACGGGGGGGGGGAAAAAATACATAAAATGGCACTTCTAGAACTAAAACCAAATATTCAAACAGCATACAACAAAATCAGCAAAATTCACAGAAAACAAGATAAGAACCACCAAGCAACTCAAAAACCAGAACAACCCCCAACAAAATATTTAATCAAAGCATAAAACATTAAATAATTCAAACAAGCATACCAACAAAACAGCAAAAATAAAAACCATCAAAGAACACAAACTCAAAAACACACAAAATCAAAAACAAAGCAACATACCAACAAAAAATATCAGAAGAGTATCAAACAAAATAAAATACAAACAGCCAAAGCACGAAAAAATCAAAAGAGCATGCCAAGTTCAAACAACGCACTTTGAAAGAGATAACCAAATCAAGAAAAATTAAAATATTTCAATCTTTACAAACTATAAGTACAGTATAATTATAACATATAAGATTTTACATGTTATTATTATAGTATGATTATAATTTCAGTACAGGATAATAATTTAATTGACAAATCTTTCTTCTTTCATACATCATTTTAAAAATAATATTAATATCTCTCAATGTATTTTGAATATTAAACTTTTTACTTTCAATAAATAATTTGATATTTTCTTTAACATCTTCTCCTTTCTCTTGACTATATCCCAACATCCATAATATATCATAAATCATTTCATATTTTTTCTTACTGATTTTAAGAAACTGTTTAACATAATCATAAGGTGG